GACAAGCTGTCCGGGACACACTTAACATATCATCCGACCTGAAGAGGAGGTTGCATTGCAGCTACTTCGGGGTCAAGGGGTCAACTTATTACATTACCATCTGTTAACAATGGTCCTTCCTCTGACAGACAAAAAGACATAGGGATGGATGTGCATGGGAATGTTCACTGTGCGCCCTGCGTTGTGGCTTTATGGGATACCGCATCATTGCTAGCAGTCGTAGAGAGATGTGATGCTCTGGCAGCCAATCAGGGACAGAGAGAGGAATGCCAGATTGTAATCAGAAACACATGCTGGAGAGTGAGCGGGCCGTGTCTGTTGAGGGAGGATACCAGGAGACAGACATAGCTATACACTTGGGCGCACACACCAACTCTGATACACACAAAGGGCTTTGAGAAAACATGGCTTAACATGGAGATATAGGGCATGCCATTTATTTTGCCTAGTACCTCCTCCCTCCTCAGCAGGATTTCGGTCGGAGCTGAAAGGAGAAAAGGGGAGCACAGGCGGCCTGCTCAAGATTTAGCAATAAGGAGCAGTCAGAAATGATAAAGTACGGTTACATGTTCATTTGACATTAAGAATAGTAGCTGTTTCTCCCTCAGTGTGGCCGCAACTACAGCTGTCCTCGCCCTCAACAAACCGCGGGGCCTGTGCTATATATACAGGCTGGAGAAACATTGCAAAAAGCCTGGTCATCAGTCATTTCCCTGTGATGGGCCCTTTGGCATGTGTAGCAGAGTTAAGACGGTGCCTACATGCTGGCTTTATGTGCTGACAACAAAAGCAAATTGCCTGAATAATGCACAAGCAATAACAGTTTAATTATTAATTATATCACAATGGTAGATTGTACAAGTAAAAGCTGCTCAATAAATACACAAAACACCCACATAAATAAAACCGCTTAAGTTGTATTTCTTTTTTTAATTCCATTTTTCCTCTTTTATCACCTACTGTATATTATTATTTATAGTGTTATGCAGTGCTTTCCAAAATTGGACACAGCTAATTTTATTTCCCGGGCTACTAAGCTTAACGATAAAGGGGGCCTGGAATTTATGGTGGTTTCCACTGGCTAACCAGACCAGTGCGACGGCAGTATCAATCAGGGAGGAAACTGCTGCAAGGCCAGTGCTTTGCGGAATGAAGACTCTGCTCCCGACTGTACGGCTCCCCTGTGAAGGGTTACTATTACATCCCAGCCAATCTGTTAGCTATGGATGTGCCATGCTGTCGGGACAAACTTCATCTGTACTCGCTGTGAGAAAAGAAAAGTGCATTTTTCACATCTCTCTCAGTCGTGGAGGAAGAATGTCACACTCTGATTTTTTGTTTTGTTTCACAGTGAATCAGTTCTCTGATGCTCGCCTTAAAAGCTCCATTCTGACATGGTGTGTTACATCGCTTGCTTCATCAGGCTGTTAAAGTGATGGTGTAAGACTTGACAGGACATTTACAGGAGGAGGCCCAGGCTCTAGCGTTATCTGACATTATCAGTGCTGGATAACAGTGGTCAGTTACTGCAGTCAATGATGTGACTGTAGGAGTGTATCCTGCTTTCTCTAAAATCAAAACACAAATGGATTTTAAACTTATTTTACCAATGAAGTCGGAGAATTCTGCTGCCTTACAACATGACCGTCTCACTTAGTTGATGTGCGTCTGCGGAAATTTTGCATGTCTCCGCGGCCATTTTTCATCTCTTTGTAGTCGATTTGCATCGCTTTGTTGTCAGTGTGCGTCTCTTTGTAGTCATTTCCCATCTCCTTGCAGTTGTTTTGTGTCTCTTGGTTACTACTTGATTGACTTTCCAACAAGAAATGTTAAACATCACTTCAAACGGAGGCTCTGGCCCAGGAGTCCCCTGACTCCCTGATGACTCTGCTACAATCATTCAGTAATCCACGCACGTATGCTGCATGTAAAGAGTTTTGCTGGATATTAATATTTTCATCCATGCAGCTGGTATGTAAAGGAAGGGCACAGCTTCATTGTAGTTGTATGAGTTTTTCTGCTCTGTCTCACAGGGGAAAATAGATCTTTTTTACACTGATCTAAAAAGAATCTCTCAAATGCAAGAGCGGCTTATCAGTTCACAATTTATGAAACTGATTTTTGTTTCTTTGAGCAAATGAAATGGCACATGAGAAATGTACTGTGCTGATCTGACTCAAGCGACAAAAAACATTTCTTCCATGTGTGTTTGACTTTAAGCTGCTGTGTCCCTTCTACTCATCTTGTCTTAATGCACTACATTGCATTGTTTTCTTTGGATGCCGTCTCCTCTGTAAATTGGATATGACCACTGCTTCTGCAACAAAAATAACCTCCCAGTGCCGTTTTCTCCACTCAGAGAATATGTCGTCCCCAATTCCTACCCTGAAATTACGTCTGCAGTGACCAGTGGGCCGGTGAAGGCGCTGCTGTGGGCCTGCAAAGTGAGCTGGCCTTTGTTTTCACTCCGTGTGACCAGGCATGGGCACAAAAGTGCAGCCAGACAAATAGCCAGATCCAGATTTGGTAGCTAATGAGGTGTGATGTAGTGCTGCGTCGGGGCCTGTGGACATGAATTGAGTCTGAGGGTGAAATAAAATAAACAGACCGTGCTCGAGCACTGTGATAACATGATCTTCTTTTACATCTCAGCAGTCTTAAGTGGATTGGCTTCTGCAGAGGTGTTCGTGCTGAATTGTCTGGTTATTACTTAGCATTTCATATTAGCACTTGATAAAAGTATTTTTCTCCACAGGGGTTCTTACTACAGAATGGGGGGGGGGGTGAATGATATCTCTGGGCTGAATTTATTCCTGAGGCAAACTCTGCATGGCAAGAAGACACATATTTGTTGTACAGTAGAAAGGATGTTGAACATTGTAAATTGCTTAAATCTCTCCACTGGGAGTTTTTAAATGACTGAACAGAGAAAACGTTCTTGCTGAATTTCAGAAATACTGAATCAGTGGTCTCTAGTCTTCTGTTCATATGAAAAAGCTGTGGGGAATATTTATCTTATGTCTCACACAAGCGCAATGATGAAAAAAATGCAAAAGCCACAACACGAAGACAAAAGTGGCAACGCAACACAAACAGAAACACAATCACAATGGAAGTGAGTGACAATGGATGTTGACAAAGAAACAAGCAGAGTTATTCTATCAAGTGAGCCATCATTTGAGAAACCCGGTCAATAACCACTGCTATTGTGTGTTTGAGGTGTTACTGTACAGGTGCTTGGAGCAGCTAAAAGATATTAAATAAAATGTGGTCTTCCTTTTTTTACAAACATTTTTAAAACTTCCTTTCCAAAAATTCAGAACACAAACAATGTTTCTTGACTTTTGACTTTTTCATTCCTGTTTTCCATTCATTTGCTCGTGTGAGAAGTGTCAGCCACAGTAGTTCAGTCCTGATATAACGACCATAACCAGGGCATTGGAGGCCTTTCAAACCCTAAGTGCTCATGCAATGTGCTTAGGGATTTAACGAGACTGATACTTTGTATCTAAAGTTTACAAAAATCTAAAACACAAGATCAAACGTGTAAGGAAAGGATTAACGTGTGTGTTTATCTGCTGTGACTTAAGCTGCAGTGGCTCTTACCTAACGATGGTTGTGACTGCGCTTCACCTCCAAAGCCAAACTAACGACATTTGTGGCTTTATGTTTGAAATAAAAGCCCTCTCAAAGTCTGACACACACACACACACACACACACCTCACCATGTGCGGGCACGTCCTGGATGTGATTAGAGCACTGTTAGCAGCTCTGTCCTGCTATTTAGTGGATTTGGGTGAAGTTAAGTCTCCAGAAACTTTATCTGAAATAACACTTTTATTTCCTACACAAAAATGAATGCTGTATGAGGAGCATTTCTATTAATATCTTATACTTCCCTCATATGTTTAAAACTAAAACTAAACCATCTGTCAAACCAATTCATGAAGGCATTGGCATGTCTGCTGCACACCAGAGGATTTTCATATCTGAACTGATTTTAAAGGGACTAGTGATATAATGTAACCGATTGTTAATATTGCATTAGTGAGTACACACACACACTGGACAGATCAATTAAAACACAGGACCACACACTTGGCATTTGAACAAACGATATCTGAGTAGCAATTCCACGGCCTCGTCTGATCAAACCTGACTGTCGTAGCTGGTTGCACTTGTTTGTGTAATGTTTTGCACAAAATACAGGACACATTAAACAAGCACTCATACTGTTGCCAAAGGTTTGTGCTTTTCTACTGTCCACCTGGCACAAGAAACAAAGGTTGTGTCAGGCAGCCATGTTTGGTTCTTCACACCAGTACACAGCATCTGGTTGGTTATGCTTCCTGGTCAGCTCGCTCTCATTGGCTATGGTGGCTTTCTGCTTACCTGGCCAATTATTGTTCCTTTTATACTACACCACTGGATCTCCCCAACTTCCAATCGTATAAATGTTCAACATTTACAATTTGAAATCAAGGATTTAGTCTGTATTTTGTCCGTCAACCCCTCACACTACAGGATCATTTGGCCGGGTGGTCTGATCAGATCAGTGTTGACTTGGCAACACCCCTGCGGTCATTGAAAGTGGTGAATCAGTCCCAAAGTTGGGCTGATTATCCTCTGGTGTGGGGCCAGCATTAGTTTAAGCACTCATTATACAAGTTGTGTCATTAGCAATGAAATGCTCACCTTTTCAAACTCTCTTTGAAACCAACGGTTCAAATATTTAACCTCAAATGGCAAATCTATGACCTCTGTTAACTGCAGTATGCGTGTAGCTGTGGGGAGAAGGAAATCCTTGAGAGGGAGGGACCAAGAGGGTTTGATGCAATTTGCTGTGGAACGTTCATGCTGTTTTTTTCCAAATGAAGATTGAGACCAATATAAGAGCATTAAGGCCGTTTGCCAACCATTTCAGCTAATAAAGGTTCCATTCTTTATTTTTACAGCTCACTGGATACTAATGTCAAGGAAAGAGCGCGGAAGAGGAGGAGGGGTATAAGTCAAGAGTCGAGTGACTTTCTGAGACAGACCAAAGAGGAGAGGCATCCTTGAGGTTGACATCGATGTGGAGAACTAATCTGCCTGTGGGCTGTGATTCAGACCCAAGGTGAGTCCTGTGACATTTTGAGCTGATTAGGAATTTCACCAGTCTTAGCCTTTTGTGTCGTGTCAACTGCTCTGACATTGCATTACTCCGTTTCATTATCATGCAGTCACATCTAATAAGGGCACCATCCTCCAACCTGGCGTGGGGCATAAAGAGGCCTCTTTAATGCATGGTGGCCTCAGAGGAGGAGTAGAAAAGACAAATCAAGTGCAACTGTTGGATAAGTGCAACTGGGCTTTTGGCCCAGAACAAATTGCATTACTGTCACATTATGTCCCTGGTATGCATGAATTAAGCAATGACTGGGTGACTCTCATCCCCCTCCTGACTGAGTTCCTCGCAAAAATCTTACTTGGATTTAGTATAATTTATTTCCATCAGGGAGGAGAGACAGGCCCATTCACAGATGCTCTGCTCCTCTTTCCATCCTATTTGCATGAGGAACAATTTGACACTTTCTGTGATCGGCTGCTGGAATGTGAGAATTGCACTGGGAGAAGAGTGTGGCTAGTCGATGGCCTTTCTGTGCTGATTCAGACATTGCAAGGTGATGAGACGGCTCTGTGGTCACAGTGACTCCTCGGCCAACGCTGCAGCACTGAGACCAGACATGCATTTTTATTCAGGCCAAATGTCAGTCTTTTGCGGGTTGGAAGAATGGTGCGAGGCGCTCGAAAAAAGGTCGCCAAGCCTCCTGGGCTGGAACAGAAGACCAGAGACATTTGGGAGTTTGATTTCTCCCCCACTGGCGAGTCTGAGAGCCCCTTGTCAGACTTATGCTTGAGCCTTGAAGCGGTGCGATGTGTCACACTTGGACTGGCATCTCGTCCAAACCGATTAACGGTGAGATATGTACGTATCGTCACACTGGAAGGCAGGCGTCTGAGTGGACAAAAGCAGAACGGCCCGCAGGGACTGAGCTGTCTCTTCCTGTCTCGTCGCTGCAGCCTGCGTGTGCACTCATGTATGCGCTCAGACTTGGCTGCTGATGAAGTGGACTCTTTTAGGTGGACAAACAATTCCTCTGAGTTCACCAAAGTCACTTCCTGCAGAAGAATGTGAACGTGAGATATGAATTTGACCAAACGGAGCGAGAGTGGCTTTGGATGACCGAGTGGCGAGAGGGGAAGGACAGAACAATGTCTTTCTACAAAAAACTGACTTGGGCTCATCTATATCTGTCTAATTGTTTGTTTCCTGAGTGATAAAGCCAAGACACTGACACAATGAGACCGGAAAGAGGGTGGAGATGGGTTCAATGCAGCACACAATCCCCTCTTTTCTGTTTAAGAGGGGAAACGTGACCTGCCGGCTGTCTTTGCATGATGAATACGAATAATGGGGCCTGCAGGCAAACATATAGCACCAGAATATGCTGCACCACAGCTTCCACGTCATGTCATCTCTCTCCTCTCTGTCTCTCTCGCTCTCCTGCCGTAAGCACAGAACGCCTGCTATTCTTAGCTGACTCCCCCGCAGGTGAATTATGGATGAGATGAAAAGCTCATAATGATATTTGGCTGATCGGGTATCACGGTGAAATGCCACTTAAAGTGTGATATAGCTCTCGGGGATGGAATGCCTTCTCTGCCACCTCTCCCCAAAGATGTGCAACACCGCAGACCCGCGGCAGGAAGAGGAGAGTCGTATCCTCGCGGCGGCTGAGCAGACGAGATATGAGGCAAACAGCGAGGATGACAGGCAAACAGCCGTGGTCAATGGGGGCAGGCAGCTCAGAGAAACACAGTCTGGCCGTAGATAATAGGCTCCCACCTCACAGGGTTATTGCTGCACGTGCAGTGGCTGATCCCACAGAGACCTCAATTCTCTGTCACTCAGAGGCACGAAGAGCCCGTCAGTGGCCGACACGTGACTCAGCCAGGTGTGTCTTATTAATTTTCAGATTTATGACTTGGACTTTTTCCTCATTCTTAAACGTGCTCCCAGGAGAACCCACTTCATGGAGTGCGCTCATGCCACACACTTACCTTCGGTGTAAATGTGTGTTCATGCATGAACCCCCCCCCACATTTGCTTTTATGAATTATACAGCATACATGTATGTCACCTTCAGAAGGTTACAAGCCCCTCCAGATCAGTGTGTGTTATCTGTAAGTGAGAGACATGATGTATTCCTGGAGGTTTTTGTGCTCAACTTGCTCCATCTTAAGTCGTGACCTTCAAACGTAACAGGATGAATAACCTGGCGCAGGATTGTTTTGTCATTTGCACGTGTTTCTGTGTTGACATCAATCAGCTTCTATATACAGCTGAAGTTAGAAGGTCAAAGCTCCACATATCTGCTATCTGCAGTGGCCCTGCCAGCACTGCAGTGTAAGAGTGCACAATGCAATAGACAGAATGCACGCACAAGTAGAAGAACATCAACACAAATTCACAGAATTTAAAAGAGGTCTGCTGCCAACAAGTAAAACACTGACTCGAGAGACAGTAAATTGACAATACTGCAGTGCAGTTATAGACAACACAACAAAATACAAAAATGTGCCATGAATTCTGACAAAGCAGACGAATTTCTGAGTTTATATTACATTTCTGTATTTGGTGTTCTCCACATTTAAAGACATTTCCAACCACTGCGCAGTGTAGCTGCACAGGCTGTATGTGTGTGTGTGTGTACAAAAAGATATGGACCAGATTTTCACAAAACTTGGTTTAAAATATTATTCGAGTATCTCCAGAACTTCTGGCACTGGTCTCAGGTCAACCAAAGATCAAGGTGAAATATGGTCCGAAATCCACAGTTTCCATGGTTCCTCTGCAAATAACTAGGGGAGAGAGATTGTCTCAGACTTATACTGATCAGAAGATGATTCCTTATCATGTGATATCATGTGGAGCAGCATGATGATGTGGTGGTTGACACTGTTACCTCACGACAGGAATCAGCCAGGGACTTTCTGTGTGGTTTGTTGGGTTTGGCTCCAGCTCCCTGTGACCCTACAGATGATAATCGGTATAGAAGTTGGATGAAAGATATCATATGATAAGTGACGTCATGAATCACATCATGCAGAGTTCAAAAACATCTCTGCATCTTATAGGACCATAGACACAATCTAAAGCTTAGAGAGATGACAAAAACATCATGATCACATGATAATGATGTCATCATGAGGTCACATTATTGGTTGCAAAGCATTAACCTTTGCAACCAATAAGATTAGAGAGACAGCATATACACCTTACTTGGATAAACCAATTAGTCATTGTGTAGTATAAATAATGTCATGCAAGGGCGGCTGTGGCTCAGTGGGTAGAGCGGGTCATGCTCTAACCAGAAGGTCAACGGCTCAATCCTAATTCCCCGTTCCGCATGCTGAAGTGTGCTTTGGCAAGACACTGAACCCCAAATTGCTCCTGACGTTCCCATAGAAAAAAATATATAGATGCACTATATGAATTTGTGTGTGTCAGTGGGTGAATAGCAAAAAAAGAGAGAAAAGAGCTTTGAGACTAGAAAAACACTATTTAAATACCATTCACCATGTAATAATGATGTGATTATGACATGGCATTTTTACAATTTAAACAGTTGCTTTGTTGGAGTATGTAACGCACGCAGTGTGTGCATGTGTGTTGATGTTGTCTTTATTGTTTCTTGTATTTATTGTTTGTGTTTTGAGCTACCGTGGCTGCCATAGCTTTTAAAGTAAATTCTGCATTTTTTGAAACCAAGTGTAAAACATTTCTTCCTCTGCTGTCTAATTGTTATACCCAAAGCTGCCACTGATTGTAGTGCTCACGCCCAACTGAAAGAAAACAACCGTTTCAGGTGTCCTAACAAGTAGAAGTGATAGAAACAGAATAACTGTGCATTTTAGTGTCAGACACCTGATGTCAACAGAGAAGTAAAAGACTGAGACACATTAAAAGAGAATATTGTGTGAGCGAGGAGCTGCTGTCCAAAACAAGCTTGGATCATTTTGAGCTGTTCGATCAGCTCCTGCTTAAACTACTGCATATGTGTGAATTTAATTACCTCTCTGGGGATTACCTTTGCAGTGATTGCCACTTTTCAAAGCCTCCTTGATGCCAAACACAACATGACCCATGCAGGTGTGGGGGGCCACTGTTCACAGGGAACTGTTCTCGCTGAGTGGAAAGTGTTTAGCAGGGGTGCTAAAGGAAATCATCTCAGCCATGAATACTAAATGACCCAAGGTGTACATTGGTACATCTCAAATATGTGCTTGGCCCCGCTCCGGTGGAAAGGAAATATGACTCCTGCTGCATAATGTATAGCAAATGAAAGCCTGTAATGGTATTGACATTGGATTTGTGAGGTTTCTTTAGCGTCGCTGGAAATTTGTCTTGGTTCCGCTTGTGTGAGAGATTCCTCCTTTTTGAAATGGATTTGGGGAAGCTCCGTGGGGGCTGCGAGATCGCTGTCAGATGTGACACAGTGTAAGCTGCTGTTTGTTTTCACAGCTTCTTTTCATAGTCAATGAGTGTGCTGCGACATGACAGATACCAGTGAGAACATCAGTCTAGTGTGCCCTTCAGAGATGTCCCTTGGAAATTAGTAATCATCGCAGAGAAAAACACAATTCAACCCCTCCGTTCTCACTCCTACTTTCATGTTTCTTCCATGTTGTTCATGTTTTTGTGGTTTTTCCTCCTGAAATAAATCACACATTCGTAGTGTAACGATGCTCCACTTGCCCAGGTAGTACCCAAGTGCATTGGGACCACTTATTCACTCGGCTTATAAGTTATAGCATCTCCTACCACAGGACATGATGAAATTTAACCTCTAAAAATAAATAATACGAACACACAGGCAGCAGCAACAGAAGTCATAGCATTTAAATGATATTGTGAGAAAAAAAAAAAATCTATCCACGTGCTATGTAAATGTATCCACAGCCAAAATCACTTTGGCCCTTGCCATCCGGGTTATTTACGAGCTCTCATTAGCAAATGCCTTTCACTTGGGCCTGTATACCGTATCCTCTCCGCTTTCTCTTCGCACTGTT